ATGTGCTAGTGATGCAAAGATTTTTAGCCAAAGGGAAAGGAAGTCGGGTCTCTCAGACCTCTCGTACAACGACTGTTAGTAACAAATTTAAAAATTTTCTAGGAGCGAAGGGGCTCAGTTTCCCATTGGGCTCCTGTGGCGCCACCACCAATAACATGTCTAGCTTGATTACTTTAAACATTTTATTATTTATGTTATCAAATATAGTAGAGTTATTAATTTGCTATTTAATAAACTTCTTCAAAAAACAAACTAAATTTATAATTACGTTTAGTCTCTCTTTATTCGATTTTTATAAATAAAGTTGTATACACCTACATTTTCGTAGATCACGTGTATTTGAATAAATTGAGATATGATGATAAAAGAACAAATAGCCATGCTTGATTACACAACATACACAATTCAATGGCTCAAAGGTTATAGGGGCAATAAGAAAAATACAAATCACCATATCTGTTCTGATCTTAGAGAAAACACAGCATTCACATAACTACATCTTCCGCGCAGTCTGTCATGACGCTGTGATGCATAAAAAAATCAATTTTCATAATACTTTATCAATCAGTGTTCATCGAAAATATGAAAATAAAAAACAAAATAATAATTTTTATATTTTTTACCAATGCAAGTAAACATACATATTAATAGGGCAAAAAACAACATTTTCACCTTTATACTCTTTCATACACATATAGTAGTCGTATGTATAAAAAGGCCATGCTTGACATATTGCATATAATATCCATCTGTTTTTTTACTATCATATAGAAAAATAACAGAAGTAATAAAAAAGAAAAATCTACCAACCAAATAAAAAATTATTAATCATCTATATGCAATCACCATCGAATATAAGACGAAATTCTACTAATAATAACGAATTAAAAATTACAAATGAAAATACTGATGATATTCAAATACCACCTCCATCATATACAAGTGTTATTTATAAATTAGAAAATCCATCATTTCAAAATGATAATAATTTTTTACCATTACCACCAAGTTATACCGACGTAAATAATCCACATGTTTTCTATATTAATAATTATCCTGGACCACCATTAGAAGATGGTATTGTACAAATAAGTTCTTCTAATCCTATTCTAATTCATCAACCTATGATAATATCACGTCCTCTATCAAAAAGAATGCGAATTTACTTTAATGTTAATACGCTACTAATGATATTATTTGGTATTGTAATAATTGGTCTACAAATTGGATTAATAGTAACACATTCAATTGTATTTTACTATTATGGTTTTTGGGCTGGTGGTGGTATTATTTGTGTTGGCGCATGTACAATTATATTTAGTAAGCGTTCTCATCAATTTAATCTAGTGAAATATTTTCATTCTTATGTATGGCAAACTGTATTTTTTGCTGTTGTACTTGGTTTTGGTATTATTGTTGTATCAGTAGATAAATGTGATGATAACTTATCAGCAAGTGATATTAATAATGGTGCCTGTAAACGTTCATATAGACTACTTAATGGTTTATTATTAGGTTTCGTTTCATTAACATTTTTACAATCGTTAATCAATACATTAATTTTGGGTACTATGAAAAGCCGGCGTATGAATATTTAAAATGTTGTTGCTTGCAAAAAAAAGTTTCTGCTTTTTTCTTTTTAATTTTACATATAACTATTAAATATATAAAAAAACCAGTTCACTTCTAAGTCCAAGAATAAAAGCAGAGATAACGAAATTTAGTCATTCATTATCATTTAAAATGATGCAATTGTTATATATTACTATTCTTAGAAGAATAAAAGATAATCAAATACATGACTATCTTTCTACAACAGTGATTGTGAATTATTTTTTATAGACTTGTTTAAAGATGTGCTCATTACTCAAAGGGTAAACATGATACAGTTTTAAAAAAATGGTTACCAACGTAGATTCTTAATTGGTATTCATGAATGTTCTGAAACATGTTTTTAGTCGATGAAAAGCGAAGTGACATTTTTTTTCAAGAACTTTTGCATTACCTATTTGTTTAATCCGCGAACATCACGTTATACACACATTTGTTTGAAATTAATCTGGATTAAGATTTTCATCTTAGAATAGAAGTGTTTTTATTAATTGAGAAAGTGACAGTGTTATGCAACAAATTTTGATATTACTACTTAAGCTTGGGAATGAATGAAAAAAAAAAAGATTTAATCATTAATCGACGATCTTGTCTCGTTCTTTCCAGATTCTTGTTTTTCTTGATTTTCAGGCAAGATTCTTTTTCTATTTCTTCTATACAAGATGCGTGCCTGAAAAAATTGACCTTGCCTTTCTGACAAGATTCATGTAGACCGAATCTTGGCTGGCAAGACAAGAAGTACCTCTCCAGGCAAGATTTTTGTGTTCTTGCCTTCTTTCCTGATTCTTATTTTCCTTGAATTCTTGTCATATTAATAAAGCTTTTCATAGATTATTATTACTACCTTTTTCTTACTATTATATTGCAAGCTTTACGTAAAATATACAAAAAAAACGCAACAAAACATACTCAACTTCATGTGAATTTATACTAGTCTTACAGTTGTAAACACATAGCAAGTACAAAAAAACGACACATTTTTGATGATTTTATTATGGTTAAAAATATGTAATGTGCTTGTTTTTCTTATAGTCCATCATCTTCATTCGAATTTTCACGTGACCCTAAGATCTATTCAATTGTTGTTGAAGTTCTTTTTGTTGATTGTATTGTTGGTAATGGAATTAGTCCTTGCTTTTTCACATTGTGCTTCATTTATTATGAAGAATTCTTTACTGATTGACTATTGGCAAAAACAGTTCACGCATGAAGCCCGTGAATGTAAACAATATAACCTATCAGTAGAAATTGCAAGCATTATAAAAAGATCGATTTTTTAACGTAAGTAAAATTAGCAGCAGATGCGAGTATTTCCGCCTAATATTTGCAATAAGCTCTGTGCCAGATAGTCCATTGAATATACTATATAATGCCATAGGTTTCACAAACTTTCATTACATGACTTGCCTGCAAAATAAAAAATATTGATTAAAAAATGCTTTTTTTTAATACGAATATCAGTGTTTCCGCCAAATATTCGCTCCTCTACTTGTATCACTCATGAAATCCACTGTGCAAGATAGAATTCGATGAGATCTATCCATTGATCCCAAATAAGTAATGATCCAAGTCAGGAAACAGGTATCAGGGGGTCAATACGCATGAGAACCAAGCTTCCAGAGCTTTATTCTGAGCAAATATTCGCTAAGATGGTTGTGCCACCCGTGAATTCGATTCTGCCAGATAGATCTCAATCAGATCTATCGATTGATACCAAACAAGCGATGATCCAAGTCAAAGAACAGGTACCAGAGGGTCAGTGCCTATAAGAACCAAACTTCCGGACCCTTAATCCGAGGAAATATTCGCTAAGATAATTGTGACACTCGTGAAATTCACTGTGCCAGATAGAGCTCGATGAGATCTATCCGTTGCCACTAAATAAGCAATGCTCCAAGTGAAGGCTAGCAAATATTCGCTTAGATCGATGTGCCACTCATCAAGTCAGTTTTGCTAGATATAATTCTGTCAGATCTATTGGCTGGTAACAGAGAAGGTCTGGAAGATTATATGGAATTAAGGTAGGTAACGTCAGGAAATACTGTCTATGTAACTTCCAGTTGGTGTTTCTGTTTGAATTACTAGAGCGGCACTGATGAAGTTTGCTGATTGTTTGGAGGCTTGCCAGTATGTGGATGTGAGTATGGGTGTAGGCATTTGCGTGGGTGTGGGTACGGGTGTTGCCTTGTACGATGCAAGAGAAACATTACATCGACATCCGACACCCACACCCATCTTATCGAGTTCTATTTGGCACGAGTAATTTCATAAGTGGTACAACTATCTCAGTGAACATTTGCTCAGATTAAAGCTCTGGAGGTTTGGTTCTCATACGTATTGACCCTCTGATACCTGTTCGCTGACTTGGATCATTATTTATTTGGGATCAATGGATAGATCTCATCAAATTCTATCTTGCACAGTGGATTTCATGAGTGACACAAGTAGAGGAGCGAATGTTTGGCGGAAATACTGATATTCGCATTACAAAAAAAAAACGTTTTTTAATCAATATTTTTTATTTTGCAGGCAAGTCATGTAATGAAAGTTTGTGAAACCTATGGCATTATATAGTATATTCGATGGACTACCTGACACAACTAATATTTGCTCTGACACTGCGCTTGTTGCGAATATTAGGCGGAAATATTCGAATGTGTTGCTAACTTTACTTACGTGGTTATTTAAATTTGTCTTACCCAATAAAATGTCAAATTCTTCTGGAGCTAAATTGTTAAATGATGCTATTTCGACATATGCATCACGAACTAAAGGTCAACCAGTGAAAAAAAATTTTCTTTGAAATAGCTCAATTAAAATAAGTCATTTACAATTTATTCAGTCAGTAAACGAGGTAAAGATAATTGAGTACAATAGAGTTTATCTTTTTTCTTATCACGACATCGTCGTTGTTTAGGTGTATGCAACGACGGTTCTAGAAAAAAGGATGACATGCGAGCCAAAAAGAAGAAAGTAAGTACATATTAAGGTTAACTGATTTATTGGCAGCATTGTCCAGCAGAAAGTTGAAAAAATGGTCGGAATTTTCTTCGTCCATAAAAAAAAATTATAAATGCTGGAAGATCTAAAAAATGAAATAAAGAGAAAGATATTGATTAGTAGAATATCTTATATATTCTATCACACAACAACATCACGTGTCTGTTTTTCTTGGAAAGCTGACAAGAATCTTTTTCTTCCTATCGAAAAGAATCATCTCTGAACATCAAGAAATTTAATATATCTTATATTTCTTTCCAGCTTCTGTTTTTTTATAATTTTCTGACACGATGCTTCTGATCTTGAATAGCAGAAAAGATTCTTTCCAAAAGGAGAGAAAGAGATTCTTGTCTGAACTTAAAATTTATCTTGGCTATCTTATAATTCTTGCCTGAGTCTTTTATTTCTGATCAATCAGGCGAGATTCTTTTTACTTTCCTTTCAGAAAGAATCTTGTCTGAAACACAAGAAAAACAAGAATCTGGAAAAAAAGAGACAAGATCGTCGATTAGTGAATTATAATTAGAGCATTGCATCGGAGTTGAAATTGATGTAAATTATAGAAACTTCAAAAATTTTATTTCATTCTTTTCTTATGCAGCATTTATTTTAGATAATTGTTATATCTTCTAAATGAAAACTGCTAATTCAATAATGAAATAGCATAAAATAAAAAAGAAAATGCCTACACTAATGAACTTTCACAAGTGATTATTGCGAAAGAAATAAAAAAAAAAGGATAAGTACCATTCGAAATCTCCACTTCGTCACGAGATGCATTTTCATTATCTTGACACGATCTTAAATTATGGAATAATGTCGCACATGTATGTTATCGTCAATTAACGGGAAAAAACTTTCCAATTTTTTAAGTTTTTAGAAGTCTGAGTTGGGGTTTAAAAAAAGTGTGACTTCACAAGTTTCTAATTATAATTTTTTTAGCTCATGTAATGACACTTCTGATTGAAAATTAAAAGTAATGTCGACTTTGTTCCTTGTCATCATCCCTAGAGATTTTAATTATTCTGAGAAATTTCATTGAACTTACCGGTTTCTTATCATTGCTAACGTTTTTTAGTTTTTTTCATACTTGAATATCTTATTCTTTGGATGTCTACTCAAAATAGAAATATAAAATTACTATTATAATAAGTATAATAATTCTAAGATTGTAAAATAATATGTTTCATGGTTTTTTTTCTTGTTTAATCAAGTCTATGTTTGTTTTTTAAGTTATTGATTTAAAGAATTGTCCTACTTTTTTTTCTATTTATACACACCAAATCAAACACTCGATATAATTTTTGCAAAATATTTTTTAACTATTTTACAATTTTTCATATATAAAACGTATTATGTAAAAAAGTTACTTTCTCTAACATACTTCTTCAAATATTTATATTAAGTAGCTAAAATGATGACTGACAACATTATGTTAGAATTCGATGGATTGCAGGTGTTATAAGTTTGTTGTCAAGTTTAGCGATAATTAGACCTATTTTTGTCCTAAAAATAAGATTACTAATAATTGTTTCCCTATTATGTATGTTGCTTGATAGATTTATATATTACGGAGGATTAATAATGATAACATTATCTTTTTACTTTTTTACATCGTTTAATAATTTGAAAGGTTACAAAATTAAAGATATTATATTGTGATGAATGCTTTAAGTTTTTTTTAATTATTGAATGAAGAGTATAGTTAGTATGTTGCTCTCTTTTTCTTTTCTTCACTTGTTGATATTCTTTAGAAAATATAAAAGAAACTATTTTTATGACATTCAATATGTTGTTTTTTCTTCTTTTTAATTTTTTTTTTTGCACAGAAGGTGGAAAGAGTCAGCTAACTATAGCATTTCCTTTTCATTGTCTTAAAAAACATATAATTACTAACAGGAATATTCACATATGTTGAAATCTAGTTGTATGAAATTGTCTATTAAATTAAGATATTCATTTTTAGTATTTTAATAAGACTTGATTG